CCAACTAAGACTAGACCCAGTGCGTCAACGTCATCGGTTGGTGGTGGTTCCTCTCTCGCTAAGAGCAGACCTGGACTATTGGAGGAATCAGAGCGTTCTCACGCACGGAGTCCCGATGGGCAAGGTGTCATCCTACATTCCAGTATTTACAGATGCTTCTCTGACTGGATGGGGAGGGACATGTCAGACTCAAGCGATAGGAGGTGCATGGCCTCAATCAGGTCGTCACATAAACCTCTTGGGTTGGAAACGGTTCGACTGGTTCTGACCCACTTCGCGCCTACCCTTCGGGGTCGCGATGTGCTGGTCTGGTCAGACAACCGGACCACAGTAGCTCACATAAATCGCCAGGGGGGGGTCAGGTCACCTGCCCTCCACAGGGCGGCAGAGGAATTGTGGCTGTGGGCTCACAAGCACCTTCGCTCGTTGAGAGCAGCACACATTCCGGGCTACTTGAACGTAGGAGCAGACCTCATGTCAAGAGGGGGTCCTCGAGACGACGAGTGGTGTCTGCATCCGGACATTGTTCTCCAAATTTGGGAACAGTTCGGGAGAGCCGAGGTGGATCTGTTCGCGTCACGCGTGAACGCGCAATGTCCCCTATGGTTTTCTCTGAGGGAACAGGACGAGCCACCACTGGGAAGAGACGCATTCGCGCACTACCCATGGCCGAAAGTTCTCCTGTATGCATTCCCTCCGCTGTCTTGCATTCTCCCACTGCTAGCCAGGGTGAGGTCAGAGGGGCTGTCAGTGATACTGATAGCGCCCGATCGCCCGGGGGCTCCGTGGTTTGCGGAGATGAGTCAGATGTTGATTGCGCCACCTTGGCCAATTCCACATCGACGGGACGCGTTGACCCAGGCGGGAGGCTCAATAGGGCAGTGGCCCATAATCGGCCAACCACTGAAGGCTTGGTTCCTGAATGGGACAGGTTGAGGCGCCGTGGGTTATCTGATGCAGTGATCAGAACCATACAAGGTGCACGAGCCGGTTCCACTTCTAGGATGTATACCAGCAGATGGAACGTTTTTTCACGATGGTGTGACACACAAGGTGTGGACCCCATGAACTGTCAGGTTGAGAGTGTGCTCTCTTTTCTGCAGTTTATGTTTGATAAGCAGAAATCGCCCTCCACCATTAAAGTGTTTGCAGCGGCAATTTCAGCTGGTCATGAGGGGTTTGGCGGAACGAACGTGTTCAGCCATCCTTTAGTGAAACGTTTCTTATTGGGAACGCGGCGGCTTAGGCCAAGGCCTAGAGCCACGCTGCCCCAGTGGGATTTGGCCTTGGTACTCGAAGCGCTATGTAGGTCGCCGTTCGAGCCATTGAATCAAATACCCCTCAAGATGCTGTCTATCAAGACGGCGCTGTTGCTCGCCTTGACTACCGCTAAGCGTGTCAGTGATTTGTGTGCCCTGTCGACGAGACCCGACTGCCTTGCCATTAATGGCGATCTGAGCAGAGCGGTGTTACGTCCTAACCCGGCGTTTGTGCCGAAGGTTATTAACAGTGCATATAGATCACAGACCGTGGAGTTGTGGGCTTTTTCTCCCCCTCCTCATGGGGAGAGGAGTGAGGAAAAGCTTCATTGTCTGTGCCCAGTGCGCGCTTTGGCGTGTTATGTTGAGCGCACAGCAGCGATTAGGTCATCGCCTCAGCTGTTTGTGTGTCACGGTGCGGCTGCATTAGGTAGACCACTTTCAAAACAGCGATTGTCTCATTGGCTTTGTGAAGGTATTGAGACAGCTTACGAGGCAGCGGGGCGACAACTGCCTCAGGGTATCAGAGCTCACTCCACTCGTGGAGTAGCAGCTTCTACTGCCCTCTTCAGAGGAACAGGGGTAGAGGATATTTGTAGAGCAGCGTCATGGTCGACACCGTCTCCATTTATCTGTTTCTATCTATTAGATATGTCTTCTAACTCTTTGGCTCGATCTGTACTCAGCGTGGCTGAAGGGAGATCTTGAGCAAGAAAGAGAGGAAAAAAAGCAGGACTGTGGACATGGGTGTCCATCAGGTCCGCTTTGGTCAGGAAGACATATTCTGTTTCTATCTATGAGATATGCCTTCTAACTCTTTGGCTCGATCTGTACTCAGCGTGGCTGAAAGGAGATCTTGAGCAAGAAAGAGAGGAAAGAAGCAGGACTGTGGACATGGGTGTTCATCAGGTCCGCTTTGGTTAGGAAGACATATTCTGGACAGATATGTTTTCTAACTCTTTGGCTCGGTCTGTACTCAGCAAAGCTGAAAGGGGATTTTGAGCCAGGAAGAGAGGATAAAGCAGGACTATGGGCAGGTTCCCATCAGGTCCGCTTTGGTTAGGAAAACATGTTTTTTGATAGATAGGCTTTCTATCTCTATGGCTCGATTGTACTCAGCATAGCTGAAGGGGAATCTTGAGCTAGAAGAGAGAAGAGCAGGACGATGGACACAGGTTTCTATCAGGTCCGCTTTGGATGGAAAGCATATCTTGTGGCATGTCTCTTGACTGACAGGGTCAGTATAGTAGAGACATGTATTGAATTGACAGAATGTGAGGTCTGAGTGTTCAGTTTAGTATGACTTATATTTTGTTCCTGCCTACTAATCTCTGGGATTCCATTGAGTGAGTGAGGTGGTCTACTGTGTACATAATGTAGAGTGACACTTGGTGTCATTCCATTAGTGGTCGGTAGTGTTTTCACAGGATATTGAGGCACATCTATCTGCTAGTACAGATTAGTGTAGCTTCTATTCTGGTGATCTGCCCACTAGTCATTGGCATTGCCATTGAACTAGGTGGGGCGGGTCTTTAACCGATGACGCGGTATATTGTGACGCCCGGAGGGGTTTTTAGTTGCAGTACTGCGGGAATTGGTTGCGGCCATTGCTAGGCTTGACCTTTTCATTTTTTAATGGGAAGTGTTAGGCTCGGCAGGGAGTACATTTTGGAGCGCTACGCTCCGCCTTAAACCACTAGGAGCAGAGCTCCCCTATGGGGCGGAGCTCCACGATATAGAACGATTAGTTACCGGAGTGTAACTCCAGTTCTATGAGTGGAGCGGAGCCCCATAGGACTTAAGGCCCTGCCGACCCTCTCTAGTCTCGCTGGAGATAATATCTCGGGAGGCTGATTGAGGGGAAGCGTCCCCTCTTATAGGGACACCTGTGCTCCCATTGGCTGCAGGTGTGTGCATAATTTTGCTTCAGGCTGTTGCTGCCTTAGGGCAGAGGGTAAACCACTAGGAGCAGAGCTCCCCTATGGGGCTCCGCTCCACTCGTAGAACTGGAGTTACACTCCGGTAACTAATCGGTTATTATTATTATTTTTTTACCCCATTTTTCTCCCCAATTTTGTGATATCCAATTGCGAAGATTTTTTATGTAGAAAATTGCCTCATATGAGTCCAGGGACCAATCACAGTGGGAATACAAAACAAAACATAATGTGATTGGTAAATGAGTTCCAAAAATCTGACCAATTGTTTTTAGACTTAGACTGACCAACAGATTGTCAGTATAACATGTAACCAATCAATCAATCAATCACATTTTATTTATAAAGCCCTTTTTACATCAGCAGATGTCACAAAGTGCTATACAGAAACCCAGCCTAAAACCACAAACAGCAAGCAATGCAGATGTAGAAGCACGGTGGCTAGGAAAAACTCCCTAGAAAGGCAGGACCCTAGGAAGAAACCTAGAGTGAACCAGGCTCTGAGGGGTGGCTAGTCCTCTTCTGGCTGTGCCGGGTGGATATTATAACAGTACATGGCCATTAAGGCCAGATTTTTCTCCAAGATGTTAAAACGTTCATAGATGACCAGCAGGGTCAAATAATAATCACAGTGGTTGTAGAGGTTACAACAGGTCAGTACATCAGGAGTAAATGTCACTTGGCTTTTCATAGCCGGGCATTTAGAGGTTGAAATAGCAGGTGCGGTAGAGAGAGAGAGTTGAAAACAGCAGGTCTGGGACAAGGTAGCACGTCCGATGAACAGGTCAGGGTTCCATAGCCGCAGGCAGAAGAGTGGAAACTGGAGCAGCAGCACGACCAGGTGGACTGGGGACAGCAAGGAGTCATCAGGCCAGGTAGTCCTGAGGCATGGTCCTAGGGCTCAGGTCCTCCGGGATGGGAGGGAGAGGTCTAAAAACAATTGGTCAGTTTTTTGCAACTCATTTAACCAATCACATCATAGTTTGTTTTCTATTCCCATTATGATTGGTCCCTGAATCCATAGGAGGCCGTGTTGAAATTTATAAAATCCTTCCCTTTTCTATCTGTAAAGTCTTGATGAAAGTTATGAAACCGAAATGCGTTGGTTTTTACTTTTAATGAAGAAGTACTTTTATCAACTTCCACTGTCCTTGAAAGAGTTGCTGAATTTCCTCGTCACTTCAGTTTGCTCCTGTATTCATGCACATTGGTTGGAAAGCGAGGTGTTCCCTTCCCTATGCTAATAATCACACAGGTGTTCCTCAATAGTTCAATTTATTGGAAGATTAGTCAACAGCTAGTTTTCCACCACCATGGTAGAGTGGCTAATGCTACATCCTGATGTTGGGCCCCGCTTTCAGCTAGGTCTTTTATGCCTTCTACGTTAGGTTAGGCAAAGGTAAACAATAGACTGCTGCAACCTGATTGGCTATCACCCGAAGCATGCACATGCTTCAGGTGATACCAGCACTTTGATAAGGTGATTTAATTATACTGATTTAATTATATTTAATTATGTGGATATATTGTCTTGCATTCCTACCGACAAAAGGACCAAAAGAGGTAACAACCGGTAGAGTATGTTTACATGTAATTTTATTCAACATGCTGGCTTGTAGAGGTTGTGAGAGGAAACTTTCCTGATCCAAACACACATTTTTGCCCGACATAGAATTCAATGCAATTCAACGTCGGGTTTCCAGGCAAAAAGACCCAGGCTGCAGAAACGTATTGAAGTCGAACTTGTGCTGGATCACCTGAACTTCTTAGACAATTACCAAAAATACTTTATCTGAACTAAGGCGAAAACGGAGAGAGCAATCGAAAGGCAGTCGATCTACTTATTGATACAATCATCAGGATCTGGCCACATCCAAACGGTTGGTTCAGGGAGTTTGAGGATGCACTGTCAGCTGGGGTTTGTAAACATGCAGCCATCTACATGGAGGATAGTCCTCCAAGTCCATCTCTGGAGGCAGAGAATGACAATTGTGTCAGACTTATTGAACTTCTTTTGAGGGTGAAGACTACTGATGCCTGTTTTGCGGAAGATATTCTATTCCCAGAGGACCGTGAAATTGTATGTGTGTAGACTGTATTAGTGCCATATGGGACATTGTCCATAGCCTAAACTCCTATAAAATCAGATTGTTGATGATCAGTAGACCTAAATGTAAACTGTAGATATATTTATGTAATGCATCTCTGGACCAGATGAGGGCAGACTAATGCCACTAACTTCACTGCAGCTATTGATAGGGTATGGATTTATTATGTGAGTACATTTTTTGTCATGCATTAGCCTGTATTTTAACAATTATATTTATGTTCTAGATATTAGCTGAATATCAAAACAGAAGAAATATATGTGGGGCTCGGGAACTTCTCAGGAGTTCTCCATCTTCTTGAAGGTGTTACAGGACACTGAACACCCTGACCTGTTTAAAGAACTGATAGGGAATACACCTGTTGATTACTTGATAGGTAAGGATTCATATATTCCCCTATTATTGCCCTTCATGCTAGCCTAAACCATGCTCCTTTGAACTTGAACAGATCTTGTGAGGAATAGTAGCCAGTAGATTCTGACCCTACCGTTACGCTTGTTTACACTGAGTTAGACTGGGGTCAGAACACAATCATGGTTAAATTAAGACACTGTGGAGCCGGCGCGAGATATGGGTCAGAAAACGTACCTCAATGCAGGGATGGGATATGCCACTGTACTCCAAATGTTACCTTTATCCACACTGATACATCGAGAAGTTTTCCCGGAAAGCTTTTCATCCTAGCTAGCAGTAGCCACTGCAGCCTTTTTGGAATGGCAGTGTCAGCCAATCAGCTCCTTTATTGTTCAACGCGACATGCCATACCATAATGGCTGCTGTGGCTACTGTTAGCTACGCAGCATGAGGACGAAAAGGTCTGTTTTCTGGGAAAACTAGTAGTATTTCAATCTTCTCTATGTATCAGTGTGGATAAAGGTAGAATTTGGAGAACAGTGGCATATCCCATCCCTGCAGTGACATTTTCCGACCCATATCTCGCGCAGGCTCAACTGTAACCATTATTGCGTTAAGACCCCAGTGTAGGTCAGTCTAAACAAGCGTAATGGTAGGGTTGTAATCTGCTAGCTATGAGGAATAGTAGCTGTGAATAAGTTGTAAATGTTGATTAGCCTATCCATGTCTTTTTCTCATCATGATATAATTTATATTATAAACCGGGTAGTTTGAATACTGGATGCTGATTGGCTAAAACAGCATTTAGCCCTGTGTATGTGAGACCATATACCATGACTATGACATTTAGCCTTTTCACCTTGATATCATTGCGCCTTTTTACCTTGATAAAATGGCTACATCAACAATAGTTCAACATGCCGATGTAGAAAATATTTGTTTAGATGAACGAAAAGAACATTGTGTAACAAACAAAGTGGGCACTTACCTGCTTCACTGACTGGTGTGCAGAAAAAGGGATACATTGTGAGTTTGGGAATACAACAAAAATTGAGCTGAATGTCATTCTATGGGACTTTTATGGTTCAGTTAGAAACATGAATGGCAACGAATTAGGTGGTGTAAAATACTTTAAAGTACTACTTAAATCGTTTTTTTGGGTATCTGTACTTTACTGTACTATTTATATTTTTACTTCACTACATTCCTAAAGAAAATTATGTACTTTTTCATCCATACATTTTCCATGACACCCAAACGTGCTTGTTCCATTTTGAATGCTTAGCAGGACAGAAAATTGTCAAATTCCCACACTTATCAAGAGAACATCCCTGGTCATCCCTACTGCCTCTGATCTGGCGGACTCACTAAACACAAAATGTCTGAGTGTTGGAGTATGATACGTAAATAAAATAAAAACAAGAAAATTGTGCCGTCTGGTTTGCTTAATATAAGGAATTTTTTATTATTCGTACTTTCACATTTACTTGAGTCATTTTCTATTAATGTATCTTTTACTTTTACTCAAGTATGATAATTGGGTACCCCCCTCCTCAGTTTGGCATGGAATACACAGAAGGACACTGAATTCACAATGAACAACAATGTGTCTGTCGGCGTAATTAAAAAGTTGAGGAAAGAGGGGCGCGACAAAGCTGCCCACCAGTGAATGGATACATATGGTATGTAACTGTTACCTAGCTATTTAAATCATTCTAATGTACCCTGACAATATAACCTGTTGCTATGTAGACCTAACTATTAGCTAACGTTATTTTGTCTTATATGTTTCAGGTACACAAAAGAGCCGATTGGAGTGAACAACCTCACAACAATGCTGGCAAAAATCTGGAAAATAGCTGGCCCGTAGCAGATTCACACAATCCACTGCCTCCGAACCAACATGATCCAGAAACGTTCGGATGCTTGACGAGAGGCACGATAAATACTGTCTGTCAGAGGACACAGATTCGAAACCTCTCTTCAAAGTTACTGGGGGACAAATCTGGAAACAAGGAAACGGTGGAGCACTATTCTTTCTGAAAAAACAGCAGCAGCTCCCCCAGCTAAAAGAACGGAATCCATTTCCAGCAGTGTGTAGCCAACAAACGACTCAATGAGCAAGCCAACAACAAACGATAACATGGGACAATTTTTCATTCGTGCACAATAAATGGCAACATTCAGATCAACATGAATAAATAGTTGGCATGTTTTAGTCACTCAAGAAGTGGCGTTAATGCTCGGTTTTTGCATACATTTAATGTAAGCTTGCTAGCTAGCCTGTGGTTATGTTGCAGAGCAACCAGTCTAACAACGAGACTTTAGTCCAGACTACTTTTTCTGGCGGAATGTACTGTACACTACCAGTCAAAAGTTTTAAAACACCTACTCATTCAAGGGTTTTTCTTTATTTTTACTATTTTCTACATTGTAGAATAATAGTGAAGACAACACTATGAAATAACACATATTATATGGAATCATGTAGTAACCAAGAAAGTGTTAAACAAATCAAAATATATTTTATATTTGAGATTCTTCAAATAGCCACCCTTTGCCTTGATGACAGCTTCATGAGGTAGTCACCTGGAATGCATTTCAATTAACAGGTGTGCCTTCTTAAAAGTTAATTTGTGGAATTTATTTCCTTCTTAATGCGTTTGAACCAATCAGTTGTGTTGTGACAAGGTAGGGGGGGTATACAGAAGATAGCCCTATTTCCTAAAAGACCAAGTCCATATTATGGCAAGAACAGCTCAAATAAGCAAAGAGAAACAACAGTCCATCATTACATTAAGACAAGAAGGTCAGTCAATACGGAACATTTCAAGAACTTTGAACGTTTCTTCAAGTGCTGTCGCAAAAACCATCAAGCGCTATGATGAAACTAGCTCTCATGAGGACCGCCACAGGAATGGAAGACCCAGAGTTACCTCTGCTGCAGAGGATAAGTTCATTAGAGTTACCAGCCTCAGAAATTGCAGCCCAAATAAATGCTTCACAGAGTTCAAGTAACAGACACATCCCAACATCAACTGTTCAGAGGAGACTGTGTGAATAAGGCCTTCATGTTCGAATTGCTGCAAAAAAAAACACTACTAAAGAACACCAATAAGAAGAAGAGACCTGCTTGGGCCAAGAAACAGGAGCAATGGACATTAGACCGATGGAAATGTGTCCTTTGGTCTGGATTCCAAATTGGAGATTTTTGGTTCCAACCGCCTTGTCCTTGTGAGATGCGGTGTGGGTGAACGGATGATCTCCGCATGTGTATTTCCCACCGTAAAGCATGAAGAAGGAGGTGTTATGGTGTGGAGGTGCTTTGCTGGTGACACTGTCTGTGATTTATTTAGAATTCAAGGCACACTAAACCAGCATGGCTACCACAGCATTCTGCAGCGATGCGCCATCCCATCTGGTTTGCACTTAGTGGGACTATCATTTGTTTTTCAACAGGACAATGACACCACACACCTCCAGGCTGTGTAAGGGCTATTTTACCAAGAAGGAGAGTGATGGAGTGCTGCATCAGATGACCTGGCCTCCACAATCCCCCAACCTCAACCAAATTGAGATGGTTTGGGATGAGTCGGACGGCAGAGTGAAGGAAAAGCAGCCAACAAGTGCTCAGCATATGTGGGAACTCCTTCAAGACTGTTGGAAAAGCATTCCAGGTGAAGCTGGTTGAGAGTGTCAAGAGTGTGCAAAGCTGTCATCAAGGCAAAGGGTAGCTTTTTGAAGAATCTCAAATATAAAATGAAATTGATTTGTTTAACTTTTTTTTGGTTACTACATGATTCCATATGTGTTATTTCATAGTTTTGATGCCTTCACTATTGTTCTACAATGTAGAAAATAGTCAAAATAAAGAAAAACCCTTGAATGAGTAGGTGTTCTAAAACTTTTGATCGGTAGTATATTTAATATGAATTTATTTATTAAAGCAACATTTTCAAATTAGATGTGTAGTTCCTTGCCTTACTGTGTTGGCAACCGGTTTATAAAAGCAATAAGGCACCTCGGGGGTTAGTGGTATATGGCCCATATACCACGGCTAAGGGCTGTATCCAGGCACTCCGCGTTGCGTCATGCTTTAGAACAACCCTTAGCCAGTGGTATATTGGCCATATACCACACACCCTCGGGACTTATTGCTTAAACATGATCGATACACCAGATACAGTGCATTCGGAAAGTATTCAGACCCCTTGACTTTTTCCACATTTTGTTACGTTACAGCCTTATTCTATTTTTTTATTTCTTTTTTATTCAGCATAATAACAAAGCGAAAACAGGTTTTCAGAAATGTTTGCAAATGTATTTTAAAGAAAACAGATACCATATTACATAAGTATTCAGACCCTTTGCTATGAGACTCGAAATTGAACTCAGGTGCATCCTGTTTCCATTGATTATCCTTCAGATGTTTCTACAACTTGATTGGAGTCCACCTGTGGTAAATTCAATTGATTGGACATGATTTGGAAAGGCACACACCTGTCTATATAAGGTCCCACAGTTGACAGTGCATGTCAGAGCAAAAACCAAGCCATGAGGTTGAAGGAATTGTCCGTATAGCTCGAAGACAGGATTGTGTCAAGGCACAGATCTGGGGAAGGGTACCAAAACATTTCTGCAGCATTAAAGGTCCCCAAGAACACAGTTCTAAATGGAAGAAGTTTGGAACCACCAATACTCTTCCTAGGGCTGGCCGGCCGGCCAAACTGAGCTATCGGGGGAGTAGGGCCTTGGTCAGGGAGGTGACCAAGAACCAGATGGTCACTCTGACAGAGCTCCAGAGTTCCTCTGTGGAGATGGGAGAACCTTCCAGAAGGACAACCATCTCCGCAGCACTCCACCAATCAGGCCTTCATGGTATATTGGCCAGTCGGAAGCCACTCCTCAGTAAAAGGCACATGACAGCCCGCTTGGAGTTTGCCAAAAGGCACCTAAAGACTCTCAGACCATGAGAAACAAGATTCTCTGGTCTATTGAAACCAATATTGTACTCTTTGGCCTGAATGCCAAGTGTCACATCTGGATGAAACCTGGCACCATCCCTAAGGTGAAGCATGGTGGTGCCAGCATCATGCTGTGGGGATGTTTTTCAGCAGCAGGGACTGGGAGACGGCAGGATCGAGGGATAGATGAACGGAGCAAAGTACAGAGAGATCCTTGATGAAAACCTGCTCCAGAGCGATCAGGACCTCAGACTGGGGCGAAGGTTCACCTTCCAACAGGACAACGACCCTAATTTGCAAAAATTTCTAAAAAACAGTTTTTGCTTTGTCATTATGGGGTATTGTGGGTGGATTGATGAGGGGGGGAAACAATTTAATCAATTTTAGAATAAGGCTGTAACGTAACAAAATGTGGAAAAAGTGAAGGGATCTGAATACTTTCCGAATGCACTGTATGATGGTATGATGAGGGTAGTTGGTCTTTGAACTGTTCTGCTTTGTCATTCTAGATCCAGTGGTGGATATGAATGAAGCTCCAGGGAATGGGGACCACATGGTGGAGGAGGGGCCTGTAGGAGCAACAGAGAACTCTGTTTTCCCAGTGCAGGAGACACTGGACAGCAGTGTGACCAGCATGCATCTGGATGAATCTTCAGAGACTCAGAAACTGCAGGTGCAATATAACACTGTCTTACCCTTTTAATGACCTATACAGCATGGTTCATGATAGTCAAGATTGTAGTACCGGGCCTGTATTCATAAAGCGTCTCATAGTAGAAGTGCTGATCTGGGGTCAGTTTTGCGATTTAGATTATAATGAATGGACAGGGGAGAACTGATCCTAGATCAGCACTCCTACTCTTAGACGCTTTATGAATACGGGACCTGGCTGAATATTCAGTCTTTGACGAGATGTATGTAGAGTGCTAGAGGACGGTGCATTGGAGACACATTTTTTTGGGAGACCTACAGTATATAATGACAGAAGAACAAGTGGGAAATGGGATCTCTCAATGTCAGGTAATTTGCTGGTTCAAATCCCCGAGATGACTAGGAGAAACATCTGCTGATGTGTCCTTGAGCATGGCACTTAACCCTAATTGCTCCTGTAAATCGCTCTGCATAAGAGTGTCTGCTAAATTACTAACATGTAAATGTTGTTCAGTTACAAATGCAGATTTTTTGGGGAAAATAGCTCAATCCCTAATAACTATTTGAACAAAAGTTAGATACTGTATCTGACATGACCTTAGAACCTGAATGCAGTTGGATTACATGTTAGATTCATAATAGAGACTCTTCTTAAAATAGTTTGAAGTGTTGCCAGTCATCATTCAATCACAAATACACTACATGACCAAAAGTATGTGGACAACTGCTCGTCGAACATTTCATTTCAAAATCATGGGCATTAATATGGAGTTGGTCCCCTTTTGCTGCTGTAACAGCCTCAACTCTTCTGGGAAGGCTTTCGACTAGATGTTGGAACATTGCTGCGGGGACTTGCTTCCATTCAGCCACGAGCATTAGTGAGGTCGGGCACTGATGTTGGGCGATTAGGCCTGACTCGCAGTCAGCGTTCCAATTCATCCCAAAGGTGTTCGATGGGGTTGAGGTCAGGGCTCTGTGCAGGCCAGTCAAGTTCTTCCACACTGATCTCAACAAACCATTTTTGTATGGACCTTGCTTTGTGCACGGGGGCATTGTCAGGCTGAAACAGGAAAGGTCCTTCTCCAAACTGTTGCCACAAAGTTGGAAGCACAGAATCGTCTAGAATGTCATTGTGTGCTGTAGCGTTAAGATTTCCCTTCACTGAAACTAAGGGGCCTAGCCCGAACCATGAAAAACAGCCC